TCATTGGGAACATGTGATTTACGTTAAGTAATGTTAGTTTTCTGAAATTATTATTTCTATTTTTTTTTTGTCACTCTGCGTTACCTTCTATTTATTTATTACATTTATTTATTTAATTTTATTTTTTCTGAAATTCTTCGCTTTCTAACGATATATTATACGTATACCTTCTGACTGTTATTTCCGGAGATTCATTTTTAACCAGGATAAGCATTTTTCTTTTTTCTTCAGTTTCCAGTTATCATATTCTTTTGAACATCATATTTAGCCATATTTTTTTAAACTTCATATTTAGACATTTTTTATAGTTACTGTCAATATAAGAGAGTTGATTTTTTCAAATAATCCATATTAAAGGTGCTTTAGGGAAAGATGTATATAAACATTGTACATTTAAACTCTGTAAAGTGAGATTAATGGGGAAAAGACCTAAATGATATTAAAGACCACTTAATTATGCAATGATACACCGAGTTTAATCATAATCGTTAGAGCAGTTTTGGGGAAAACTGTAAATATGTGTTTCGCTGTTGATATAAAGTGATACTTCCGATTAGCTGATTTTATATATAAAAACCTTAAATACGCTATTTAAGTTTCGTGCGAGTTTTCGTTTTCGAGCTAGGCTGTTCACTTGCACACAGACACAGACACACAGACCCTTTAGCAGGACTTGGTTATTTGGGCTTAGGGGACCTCAAAACGTGTATTTCCGTTGAAAACTCAGATTCGAAAATTTTAGCGATAGATATACTTTCCCTTTGTTATATATTACATACATAGGTAAGCAAAAGTCAAAATACCAATATATTTTCTTATAGTTTTGAGGTTAAGCCAATTAATTAACAACTGTTTTGGTGACATTTCAAAATTTAATTTTTCTATTAATAAATATGAGAGGACAATTGGTTTGATTATTTTTGTTGAGATGACTATTGACGTGAACCACTAGTCAAAAATTACGAATCACTCCATTCAACACTAAATAAATGGGGACTTGACAATCTACAATCGAAAAACCAACTATTTTTTAATAATATAATAAAAAAATTAAATTAACAATAAGGCCATAACTTTATAGGTAAATAAACTATGTTTCAATTTAATTTGTTTTTATTAAGAAATTGTTTGCTTTATATTTATTAGGTTTTCCAACAAATTTTTGCTAGTGTTTGAGTTTTTGCTACACGTTTTTCGAATATTTACTGCCGGTTTCTAGCGATGAAGCTTGTTTCTCTTTAACAAAATTGCATTACATTCCAATTCTTAAAAATTGTGCTAATGAACATAAAATTATAAAAAGATATGTTATTTGGTTATTCCTGTATTTCAAAGCAAGAAATACAGGAATAACCAAATATATATAATTTTTTAATATATTCCAGAAAATATTTTAATAATGAACTTTCGTTCTCCTTTTTTTTATGTAAAACCAGATTTATTTCAAATTATTATTTACTTCAAATGACATATCTATTTAATATTCATTTCGTAGTAACGAATTTCTTTTATTACCATATATATCTTGGATAGTTATTATCTGTTCCTCAACCGTTTTAAATATGCAATATACACAGATTTTTTTTTTTTTATCATTTATGTCTTTAGTATAGGCAAAATTAAAATTAGCAAAAGAACGTAAGTATAATTTTTAAATGATTTCAAGATAAAAAAGTATATAACATATAATTATTATAATGTTCAATAATTATAATAATAATATCAATTAATACATTACTTGTGATATTTAGCTCTTCCACAATTTTTTTCCATGTAACCTCCTTTTTAATAATCTTTTTTAATATTTGCTTGAGGTCTCATATCAAATAAAAATGGAAAATTCCTCACTTTTTATATAAATAATTCGGTGTTTAACATATCTATATGAATACTACCACTAAATAATTTCAACTGTAATTTGTATCTATAATATTTTTCAAACATAACGCCGGCCCCGGCGATACACTTGTAATATTTTTCAAACGTAACGCCGGCCTCGGCGCTATAGAATGTATCGCTGAGGTGTAACGCCCTCTGTGTGACTGCTATAGTGGAAAAGATAGTAATACAACTGTAGCGCTGTAGCGCCGCGATAAATAACGCCTTCTGTGTGAACACGCCGTTATAATCCTGCAATAATCCTATTAACTTGGGTATTAGCTAACTTTTCTGCCTACGTTAGGTAGAGAATAACGCCGAAGGAGGGCGATATTTTTGTAATTTGTATCAATTTATCGCCGGCCCCGGCGCTACAGCATGTATCGCTGTAGCGTAACGCTCTCTATGTGACTGTTATAGTAGAATAGATAGTAATACAACTGTGGCGCTATATCGCCGCGATAAATATCGCGTTCTGTGTGACCGAGCCTTTACTGTCCTTGTCTGGTCTGACAGGCTGTGACGTCACGTAACGGCTAATAGTGACGTCATGGTTTCTCCACTGTGACCTATGTTTTTACAGTATTAGTTTTTTCTTTTATTTGATGAATATCTTCTTTTAAAACATTTAAGTATTTTTTTTATTGACTTTGCTAAATAAAGATAATGAAGAGGAATTAAATTATAAGTGTTAAAGTAAATTTTCAGTGACTTAGGACTCGTAAAAATTCAGTTATATTGTTCATCAAATATTGTTTTATTAAAACTGAAAACCTTAATTTTGTTTACATTTTTGTAATTTTGTTTTTCTACTGTCAATTTTTTCCAGATCATGCATTCCTTATTTTTATTTATGTAAAATTATTGTCGTTGG